TAGTGTCCACAGACACCTGTTGAGCGAGAAAGAATGAATCAGATCCCATATGCTTCGCTAATCGGATCGATCATGTATGCTATGATATGTACAAGGCCGGATGTATCGTATGCCCTGAGTGCAACGAGTCGATATCAATCGAACCCAGGAGAGGCGCATTGGACTGCGGCCAAGAAGATCCTTAAGTACCTGAAAAGGAACAAGGATAAATTCCTGGTGTATGGAGGCCACAAAGAACTGGTTGTTGAAGGTTACACCGATGCTAGCTTTCAGACTGACAGAGACGACTTCAAGTCACAGTCAGGATATGTATTCTGTCTGAATGGAGGAGCGTTTAGCTGGAAGAGTTCCAAGCAGAGCACCACTGCAGACTCTACAACTGAAGCCGAGTACTTGGCTGCTTCGGAAGCAGCCAAGGAAGCTGTTTGGATTCGCAAGTTCATTAGTGAACTTGGTGTTTTACCCTCAATCAAGGGACCGATAGACCTTTATTGTGATAATAATGGAGCTATCGCTTAGGCCAGAGAGCCGAGAGAACACCAGAAGGTCAAACACGTGCAACGACGATTTCACATGATAAGGGAATGGAAATCCGAAGGTGAAATCAGAATTTGTAAGATCGGGACGGATGATAATGTGGCCGATCCTTTGACTAAACCTCTGCCTTAAGTGAAACACAACAGACACGTTGAGGCAATGGGAGTCAAGCATGTTGGAGACTGGCTTTGATATTCCCTGTACAAGTGTTTTAATTAAATAGGGTTGATTTAATGTAAGACACTGTACTAAAACCATTCATTAATGGAGTAATTAATTTTGTGCAAAATTATCATTCGCTCCATTACTATTTAATTGTGGTTTAGAATTAAATAATGAGTCCATTCGATTTACGGAAATATTCAAAACAGGGTATCAAGACCATGTCTTGGATAAAGAAACACCTGTTAAGTGAACATTGAATATTAAATCGAAAAGTATCCCTAATCGAGGTCATCTAACAGATGGACGATTGATGACCGCAATAGATTAGTGTGTAGTATGATTTACAGCACCGTTTCTTGTGCTGCAAGGACGTGACAGTCATAAATCATTTGCACAAGTACAGTTTAGAACTGTACTGGATAAGACCTATGAGAGTACTTTAAGAAAATTTAACTTTTGTCAGAAGTACATTTCTCATTATGGCTATCGAAACTTATTTCCTCAGACCATGAGTACTGTGAAGTTTTCTTGTTTGAGTACTAGGCTCTTAGATGTTTCCTAATGTCTGCCGTAACTAGGGATCATAACGGGAACACTCGGGAGTCTATGTCCTCTTAGTAAGAAGAACTTACAATACAAGACTGGGATTGTCCCCCTACTAACAATAGGGAAAATGTTTTGTTGTTTAAAAGGCTGCTCGAAGAGTGAGACTGTAAAATGCATGGCCATGCTCAGATGGATTTTAGAAATCATCTGCTTATTTGACAGTCGAACTCGGAGATCGAGAAACACTTTTGAACGTAATAAGGATGACAAGGAATCTTACCTTATAGTTCACGAAGAAACATTAAGTGACAAAGGAAATGAGCTATACACAATATGCACACTTGTCCGGAAGGACAAGTGGGAGATTGAAAGGAATGGTGTCCTTCCAACAAGTGTATTATTCCGATAGAGGGTTAAGAATTATTACAGAGGTAATTCTTTAGTAAGGTCAAGTGATCGAAATGCCTAGGTGGAGGCCGCTTCCGATCAGTAATATCAAGGTACAATTGATATTACAACTTAATCTTAACTGAACCCTTCGGGTCGAACCCAATCGAATCTCCGATCCGAGACGTCGAATTAATCCGAAAGGATTTAATAAGTCAATAGAGTTTTACGAATACAGACGTCGGAAATCGAGCCTAGGGCGTCGATACCGAGCGTCGCTAAATCACAATCGACAAGCATGAGCGTAGCCATAGCTAGGCTAGGCTAGCTCATCGCAACCTAGGTGCACCATGTGTGTGCTAGGCGCACCATGGTGTGCTAGGCACCATCGCAGCCTAGGCACACCTTAACAGCCCATCGCATGCTAGCATGGGTGCCTAGGTGCGCATGGTAGCCATCGCAAGCCACCACACCCATCGCAAGCCCATGCGCATGCCTAGGCGCACCATGCGTGGCCTAGGATGGCTGGGCGCTGTCGCAAGCCTAGGTGCCTATCGCAGGGCCATGGCATCACCAGGCGCGCCATCGCAAGCACTAGGTGCTGCGTGCGTGCGTGCCAGGCCTGGCAGCACCATCGCAAGCACCAAGTGCTAGCATGGTTGACTGCCTAGCAATGGTGCGCCATGTGCGTATGCTTAAGTGCTAGCCTTCGCATGGCATCACTAAGCATCGCATTACATGCAAGGGCTGGGGCCAGCTCGATGCTAGGCCTGGCACTCGCAGCCTCGCACAAGCAGCCTCGCATGTGATGCATGTGGGTTGGCAGTGCGTGGTGCGTGGCGCATCGTGCCGGTGCGTGTGTGCGATGGGGTATGCGAGTGGTGCGAGGGTCAGTGCGGCCAACATGCGTGGCTCGATAGCAGCACGCATGCTGGCTGTGCTAGCGATGCTATGCGGAGAGAGAGATGCGTGGTGCGATGGGCATTGCTAGGCTGCCAGCAGCAGGGCCTAGCACTGGCCAGCACCATCGCCTACCATGGTCTAGCACTAGGCATGCAAGGCTGCTGGGCAACACCATGCTAGCTGGCTGGGCTGGCCAGCGCCATGCTAGCTGGCGTGCTAGCTGGAAGCAGCCCAGCTGCCCATGTGGTGGCGGTTAAGGTGAAGGGGTGGGGACCAATCTTGGGCAAGGCCTTGAGGAACAAGGCAATAGTCCCCCCCACCCATTCATGGTCCTTACCTAACCCTCTCTCTCTCTATTTGACACTTGTTGCATTGTGATTAGTTTTGTTTAATAATTTATTTTAGAAATAAATTTATTAGAAAAATTCATTCTCCCACATTGGTGGAGGATGAAATATCAAGGGAACATTTCCCTATAAATACCAAGTTTGGTATTGGGATTTGTTACAACCTTTAGTGGAAAAGTAAAGGTAACTCCATTGTTGAGTATGCCTTGAAATTCGTAAAACTCCAAGTTTGTTTTGTTCGGGCCTCGACTAACCTTCGAGGCTTAGGACGCTCGGGTCGGGTCGAGGGTACGATCCGTCGGAGATCTCGTCTTTTCGGGATTTTGAAGTAAGAGCTCTTTAGGAGCGAAGCACGCGTCAAAGGTATAATTCTTGTCCTTAATCTTGTTTGATTAAGTTTATTATGCTTGTTTAATTGCTTTAATTAAGGGGCGGGTCTTGGTGGGTTTCCTTCCGCGTAGTGTCGGGTCACTACGAAACCCTACATAGGGTACCATCAAGTATGATTTCAGAGAAACGTCTGGGCTCTTCAACAATTTCCAATTGCTCTTGAAGAGGGTACATCTGGCAATCGTCTGGGTATCTAGCAAGCAACAAAAAGATTTTCGGCTGCTGATCTAGATAGCCCACTTTCCCCTTACTCAAAGCATCTTCAAGGTACCGTCTCTACCCCTTGCAACTTTTTTGAGTTTTTTCGGTTGTATAGCTTGTAAAGAGTAATGGACTCACCCAACACACACACGGCACGACCTCGGACAGTTGTCAGCCGGTCACCGGATACGGTTGAGTCTAGGACTAGGGATGCCGTCTGGGGGTGTTTGGACCACCCTTACTCTTCTGCGAATCCGACCGTCTCTGTTCATGTGCAGGATAGAATGGCTCGGACGAGACGGACGGTTGTAGACCCCGAATACCAGTCAAACGGCTCAGTCGAAGCGCCGGCTGACATAGTACAGTATGACCAGCCGGGCGTACCTAGCACGCCCGGAGATGATATCTTGGACGAGTCCGAGGATATAGACGGAGAAGAGACCGTCCAACAATCAGACTCTACAGAGTCTACCATGGAACCGGATGCCCCCCAAGAAGATGAGGAGGCATATAAATGGCCCTCTATCAACAATCCAACAGAGGCGCATATGACCGCCAGGGATGTGGTCACACTAAATGCCACCTTACCCGGATTTTTACAGAAGCGCCTGGTTGGGGTAGGATGGAAGATTGTTGTGCCGCCTGTAGAGGCAACCGTCGTTTGGGATGACGACCTTGACCATGCCGATGATTATTTCGGCTGCTATGAGGCGGCATTCAAAGCCGACCTCTGGTTCCGCCTCCATGATACAATAAAAGCCATTCTAAGGGGTTACGACCTTGGCGTTTGGCAGTTAACACCCAACTCTTGAGTGAATATACTAGGATATATAGCCGCCTGTGAGATGCAGGACATAACGCCTAGCTGGGAGGCGTTTGCACATATGCACTACCTCAGCCGTGCCCCAGGCGGCTGGAACGCGTGGTATACGTTGACCACGCATCCGGAATACATGATGACGCTGGACAAGCTTTCAAAATGGAGCAGCTGGAAGAGCAAGTTTTACTTGGTTTCTTCCCCAGCGTTGCATCAGAACCACTGGCTGCGTCGCTACAATATACACACCCGACTCTCCTTGGAAAGAAATGCGCCCTTCCTAGAGTGCCGGAAGAGGCTTGGACACAAATAATGGAGACGGGGCTCTTCAAGAAGACTTCCCTGCCATTGGATGATGGAAATGAAGTCATTGTCCCCAAGAACTAGGTCCCTCATCCGGACTGGCTTAAGGATGAGGCGTTCCTTTCCGCCTGTGACCTTAGCACCATGTTTATCAGACGTATGTTGACTGATAAACCGGAACTTTATGCCGTGTGTATCATGCTTGAATGAATTTTAACTTTGATTTTAACTTTGAGAAGACGCCTACTAAATCTGCTGCACAGATCCGGAAGGATCTGTTGGAGAAGAAAAGGGCCCAGCTGGCGGCCAAGAATGATGGGGTGAGTGCCGGCTGAGCTTTTTTACCGTTTGCATGGTTTGATGTCAACTTTGTTATTAACCGGCTGTTTTATTTTCTTTTGCAGACGGGGAGCAAGAACGTTCCTCGTTCTTTAACAAAGATGTTGAAGAGACCGGGAGAGGAGCCCTCCCAGCCTACTTCTAAATCTCGAAGGGTTCTGGCTGCCCCTGCCTCTACTGGAAGGCCGTTTGTGCCTGAGAGTCCCACCTCAGCAGGCAAAAGGCTGAAAGACCTTGGCCTAAGCACAGAGTCAGCTAAGGTTGAAACGAGGGAGATCCAAATTCCCTCAAGCCTGGTCAAGCTTGGGCCTATGCGAGTCAGCCTGAAAATCAAGGTATGGCTCTCACCTTTGATCCCCCCTAGCCGCTTGGGCCTATGCGAGTCAAGTCCCAAGCTACCCAATCAGGGGATTCTTCAGGCAGCCGGCAGAATGTAGGTGCCGCCTATGCTCAATACTTAACCAATAAATCTGTTGATGCAGATGCCTCTTCTCGTTTGCCTGACCTCCAACAGTACGCTAAGAGGATGCTGAGGACCCTTACCCGGTCCGAAAAGGAGGCGGTGCCGGGTGTACACCAGGTCAACATAGACCGCATCAACTCACTGCTCGCTAAGGTAATTGGCCGATTGGGGTGCTTTTGTACAATTTTACTCTTTTTCCGGTTGTAGCATAATTGAAAGACTAACTCCATTTCGGCTGAATTTGCAGGTGATGCTAAGGGTAGACGACATGATGGTCCCCTTGCGAAAGAAGCAGGAGGAGGTAAGGGATGCCTATAGAAGGGCAACCGATCTCATAAATGTTACCCAATATAAGACCTCAATGTATGAAATACAAACTAAAAGCCGGGAGATAAAACAGGAGGAGCTTATCAAGGAGCTCACGGCTGATGCTGAGACGGCCAACAAGAAGGCGGCTGACTTTGAGCTGCAAGTTAAAAACCTCCAACCTGATGTCAAGGCATTGGGGGAGGCTGACAAGGAGAATACTGAGCTGCGAGTAGACGTCTCCCGGTTGAAGAATGAGCTGGCCCAGACTCAGGTGAATCACAAAGCTAAGCTAGAAGCTGAGCAAGGCCGACTGATCTCCGAGAACAAGCGCGACTGTGAAGAGCGTATGAAGATGGACTGGTCTCTGATCCACCCGGACACCGACTGGGCTTTCTTTAACCTGCGGTACAAGTACGCCATTGAGGTGTTCGATGCCCAGGTCCTCGGAACAAAGAAGCCGGCTCCCTTTGAAGAATGGGCCGGCATTGTCGAGGAAGAAAAGGAGGAGCAGGTGGAAGAACAAGCGCAGGGTGAGACTGACGAAGCTCAAGCCTAACAAACTCAAGACGCCCCTCCTTCTGGCCAGGGCCAGACGTCTTAGCGTCAGCAGCAGCAGCAACAATGACTTTATTTGTTTTTGTTTCTTTTCTACCTCCGGCCTGCGAGCCGTGTACTTTTGATGTATCTACTTTCCCCGGACGTAGGTCCGGCAGACAATCTTTTCTGTTAATTAATGGGCGTTAGAACGGTCGCACATTCCGCACTCAATCAAATAAATTTATAAATCCTAAAACTAACCCCTAAACAAGTCTAGTGGTAAGTTCGGAGTCGAACCACAAGGAACGGTAATGCTAGATTGTTCTTAATCTAATGCCTAAGCTATGCCGAAGTCGGTTTATGGATAGTGGACACTACAACTACACTAACACACATATAAAGATCAAGATATTACAAAGTCTACTAGGGGCAAAGATCCACTTTGAACAATTAACAAGTTAATGGGAATCGATTTGATAATCAATCATGCAAAGAAAGAATTAAAATGGGAATTAATTACCATCAAGAGCAATCTCTCAAATTCCTAGCCTAGATCCCTCATTTACTAGGTGCATAGAAGAAATTTACCCAAAATGCAATCAAATATATAAATTCTAATTCACAATCCCTTGTCAAACTAGAACTAACATGCAATTAAGTTTGCTATCTTGGGAGATCAATCCAATTTAAAACAAACAACATGCCATCATCAATTCAATCAATTTAATCACACAATTATCATCAAATTTATCTCAAATAACTCAATTAACCATAACAAAGCTTCACTCAACACCTAGTAGAAGGAAATCTACTCAAAAATGATTAACAAAGAAATTAATAAAGCATAAAGAGAGAAGAGAGTAAGAAATGCTCATTGATATAAAATGGAGATCTTCAAATCATCAAATTCCTCCTTTGATTATCCAAAATCCATGAAAACCATTGTTTCTCTCACTTTCTCTCTCTAAAATTTTGAGAGTTTCTCTCTCTAAAACCTAAAACTAACCTAAAATCTATTCTAAACTGAAAAAAATCTGTTTCTTTAATGAGCAAAAAAATCTATTTATACCCCTTACAAAATTGCTTAGGAAGCTCCGCAAAAAGTCAGCTGAAACGGGAAAAGGTCCGACCGAACTCTGAGTAGGTTCGGTCGGACTCAGGGTAGGTTCGGCCGAACTCAGGGTAGGTTCGGTCGAACCTCCCTGATCCTTGTTTGGTCGAACTTTCCTGGTTCGACCCCTCTTGTAAACATGCTGAAAACTTGGTTGAAACTGCCTTGGAGGTTCGGTCGAACTTTTCAAAAGTTTGACCACACCTTGGTTCGACCGAACCTCTTAAAGGTTCGGCCACACCTCCTCTTGAACTTCCTCTTCTTGCTTCCTCTTCTTCCCTTTTGCTCCTCTTGTCTTTGTCCATGCCTCCATACTTGGCCAAGGGGCCTCCTACCGTGCTTAGGACCGTCATGGAACCTGCAAAAGATAGCAAAGATCACGAGAGCATCGGAATGATAAAATTGTGCATAAAGATTATCAAAACAAGCGCAAATAAGCATACTTTTCATCCATAAAAGAAAAGGAAGCCATAAGAGGAGAAAAGAGGTAGAAAACCTAAGAAAAACAGGAGAAAAGAGACCAATACACTACCCCTAAGGGTAACATAAATGTCACTCATCATTAATATATTTTGCCGACTGAGTCGGTTTTGCCTTTGACAAAATTTGCTTCAATTTTTGCAATTTTTCTAGTATGCTTGTACAAGTCTTTTTCCTTTTGCAATTTGATTCAGTACATGCGGTATGTCGGATGCATTGGCTCTGCCTGCCCCTGGACGATTGTTTGCTTATTGCCCAACTCTAAGAAGGTAGCCGTCCAAACAAGCATCCGAATGGATAGATAGGTGGTCACTGACCGTATTTAAAGAAGTAGAATTATTCTAAGTTGGATTAGGAGAAGGTGCCGGCTAGGGCCAACCTAGATTATTCTTTTAACCGGTTACGGGTTACCCTTTGGGTATCCGTTGCCGTTTGTTGGGATGCAGGCGGCCATTGGCCGAGCGTATGTATCATAACCAAGTTAATTGCCAAGGTTTTGACCTTGCTTAATTTGGGTTTGTAACCGGCTGTAGTGCCTTTGGGCAAAGACCGGTTACATTCGACCAAGATTTTAGTTACCGTTTGTGTTGCTTTGAAGCAACGACCGGTTACATTTCGACCAAGATTTTAGTTATTGTCTGTGTTGCTTTGAAGCAACGACCGGTTGTATCTTGGTTTCAATTGATCATTCAAACGACCATGAGTTATCTTTAACCTATACAGTCGGTTAAACCGCTTGAGCTATGATTTATAGAACAATACAACCCAAATGGGAGATGCTCTCTTCGACGAATTCACCCAAATGGGCATCACCGGTTGCCTGCTCATGTTGGAGCAGACAGTTTGAAAACTATTCGGCCATTGGCCTTGTAAATAGCTGCTAAGTTTGATACTTAGGTTACGTCTACTTAGTTTAGAGAAGACGGTTGCCCGGTTGTGCATTGCACAGATGGAACTTTGTACAAAAGACGATGAAAATAAAGCATTCTTTCATTAAAATACTCTATTTACAAAGATTTACAAGTCCTTAGAAGTAGTACTTTTTCAAGTTATCTACGTTCCAGGTGTTGGCTAGCTGCCTGCCGTCTGGAGTTTCCAGGCGGTAGGTGTCACCTTTAATTTCTTCAAAAATCCGGTAGGGGCCCTCCCAATTAGGGGTTAACTTTCTTTGTTTATTGGCCCTACCGGTTGCCTCCATTTTTCGTAACACAAAGTCCCCCACTTTTAGGGGTCGTTTGTGTACTCCTCTGTTGTAGGCTCTCGTCATTCTCAGACGGTATATCTCATGATGCAAGGCGGGATTGCCCCTGCGCTCCGGGAGTGAATCCAATGCTAGACGCATGGCCTCCCAATTTGCCTTTTCATCATAGAGCCTGATTCGAATTGTTGGCTCATAAAGTTCAATAGGCAGGACAGCTTAAGTGTCGTATGTCATGAGAAACGGGGTTTCACCGGTTGCCCCTTTTTCAGTTGTTCTAATGGCCCATAGGACATGAGGCAACTCATCTGCCCATAAACGGCCAGCCCTTTCAATTTCTTTTTAATGCCGTTTGAGATGAGCTTGTTGAAGGCTTCAACTTGGCCGTTTGGTTGGGGACGTCCGACTGATGCAAAACAATGTGAGATCCCTTGATCTCCCAACCAGCTCTTGAGGGTACGCGTTTCAAACTGAGGGCCATTGTCAAAGACCATAGTTATAGGTATCCCAAACCGGGTGATGATGTTTCTCCAGATGAAAGAGATGACATCCCTTGTCTTAATGCCCTTGACCGCCTCTTCCTTAACCCATTTGGTGAAGTAATCTATAGCCACCAAGATATACCTCCGTCCGCCTGTAGCAGGCATATATGGACCCAGGATGTCTATGCCCCATTTTGCAAATGTTACTGGGCTGTAGACAGCCGTCAAATCAGTAGCCGGACGGCGTATGAGCTGGCCGAATCTTTGACACTTATCGCACTTCTTCACCATTTCCATGGCGTCTACCTCAAAAGTGGGCCAAAAGTAGCCTTGCTGCCTAGCCCTTTTTGCTAGAGTTCTGCCGCCTATATGCGATGCACAAAAGCCCGAGTGCAGATCCTCTAGAACCTCTTTCCCTTTTTCCTCCTTTCAGGGGTAACACATTTTAGCAGCGGCTGAAGGTATCCCTTCCTGACGAGTTCTCCCTTGTAGATCTCAAAACTTGAGGCTCGCTTTTTCAATGCAGCCGCTTCTGAAGGGGCGTCCGACAAAGTGTCGTCTGCCAAATAAGCCCGGATGGCATCCATCCAGGTACAACTTCGGTCAAGAACTCCAATGGGATCATGTTCAATGCTTCTTTTTTCCATGACTTCCCAAAAGACTGACATAGGCGCATCACAAGAGGCGGATGATGACAACTTAGATAGTGCATCCGCCTGGTTATTTTCTAACCTGGGCACCTAACTTAGATGAAATTCGTCAAGTGTCCCGACCTCGTCTTTGACCCCCTGCAGATATTTGATCATAGCCGGATGGGTGGCCTCGTAGTCACCATGGTATTGGCTAACGATCAACTGGGAAACGGAGCAGGCGTCAACTTTCTTTGCCCCTGCCGCCTTACATATGCGTATACTGGCTAGCAGGGCCTCATACTCCGCCTCATTAATCGAGGCTTGGAACTTGAACCGTAGAGCGTATTCATATTTGTCCCCTTCCGGAGACTTGCAAATTACGCCTGCACCACAGCCGTTCATAGTAGAGCTCCTGTCTACATACACCTTCCAGACCTGATCAACATTGTCTGGCTGAGCCGACCTTATTATATCTACAATGAAATAGGCGAACGCCTGACCCTTCACTGCTTTTCTTGGTTCGAAGGTTATTTCCAGACTTTGCATTTCAATAGCCCATTTGAGCATTCTGTCGGATGACTCCAACGTTATCATTGGCCTCTTGAGGGGTTGGTCTGTTTAAACCACCACTGGATGTACCAAGAAGTATGGTTTTAACTTCTTGATTGCCATGAATAGAGCAAGGCCAAAATTTTCAACCAAGGGGTACAACAGCTCAGCATTTCGAAGAACATGGCTAATGAAATAGAACGGCACTGAGGGCATGATCTGAGACGGCCAAGTACATATAGAGAACCTCTCCTACTAGAGGGCTGACCAGTCGTGGCAATGAGTGGAGGTGATCTTTGAATTTCTGGAATGTCGCCTCAGCATTTTCCCCCCATTCGAATCTAGTCTTCTTTTTTATTGCCTGGAAGAAGTAGAGGCACTTGTTGCCTGAACGGCTGAGGAATCTTCCCAATGCCGCCAGACACCCGGTAAGGTTTTGGACTTCCTTGACAGTGCGGGGTGACTTCATGTCAATTACCCCCTGTACCTTTTTTGGGTTGGCCTCTATCCCCCTTTGATCAATCAAAAATCCGAGAAACTTCCCAGACTCAACACCAAAGACACACTTTTTGGGATTAAGCATGACCTTATGCCGCCTGAGGGTGGTGAAGGTTTCTCGGAGGTCAGCTAGGTGATCCGTCTGTAGCTTAGATTTGACTATCATGTCATCAATGTACGCCTCCACATTCCTTCCAATTTGATTAATGAAGACTGTATTAATCATTAGCTGGAAGGTAGCAGGCGCATTTTTCAGCCCAAACGGCATCACCGTATAACAGAATAACCCTTGATCAGTGATGAATGCCGTCTTCTCTTGATCTTTTTTTCACAAGGGTATCTGATGGAAACCTGAATAGGCATCCATGAAGCTCATCAAGGCATGACCGGCTGTAGACTCGACCAGACTGTCGATCTTTGGAAGTGGATAGCTATCCTTTGGACATGCCTTGTTCATATCTGTGTAATCAACACACATCTACCAGGTACCATTCGACTTTTTAACAAGAACAACGTTTGCTACCCAGTCCGGGTAGTAGCATTGCAGAATGAACCCGGCATCCTACAGCTCCTTGACCTCGGCGGCTGCCGCCTGAGATCTTTCCTCGTCGTGGTTCCTTTTCTTTTGCCTAACCGGCTTCTTTTTTGGATCCACGGCGAGTTTGTGGACAACAAGATTCGGGCTGACGCCTGGCATCTCTTCCACTTCTAAGGCAAAAATGTCTTTGAATTCTTTCAGCAGTTGGTGCAAATCTGCGCCCAACTTGGCAAAAGCAACCGTCCCCACTTTAACGGTTCGTTCCGGACGGCTGTTATTTAAAACAATGTCATTATTTTCACCAGCCAGCTGGGGACGGAAATCGTCTGACCGTTCCCCGATCAATGATTGCTATTGCTTCTCTTTTTTTACGGCCACCAAGTGGTCCGCCTTTCTCTTTTTGTCGGCTGCTTTGGGAGCAGGCGCGACTTCTGTTTCGGGGTTTTTGGAGTCCCTCGGGAGAGTTACAATTCCAAGAATGCGCGTCGACCGTCTGTACCTGCAAAATCACAGAAACTACGGTTGGGTTGAGTTCCGCCTCCGACGATCAAGTTAGAACGTTTCCGGAAGTATAAAAGTGCGGAATGTAAAGGGTTTTTCTCCCGGATTCCGAGAGAATTCTGTAATTAATATTGCTCGGGTTTTTTGTGTGTATTTATGAATGTGTAATAAATGAGGATTTACCTCTATTTATAGTGGAAGGAGATCAATTCCCCTTTTAGGGTTAAAGTGCCACGTGTCAGTAGAGGATTGGATCCCCTAGGATCTCTCTGAGGCTGACACGTGTCAGCATGCTATTGGACCACGCAGATAGAGTATTTTTACCCTAAACATTTTCCCCTCACAAGTGTGACGTGGCTTGCCACGTGGCACATATGACATGTGTCACGCTTTGAGAAGGAGACGTTTCGTCTCCTTCTCTCTCGTTTTTTTTTATTTTTTATTTTTGGAATTTGAAGTGGGGAGGTGACGGTTCGCCATCTGGGTTCTTCTTCTATAAGTAGAAACCCCCCCCCCCCCTCATTTTCAACACTTTACATATTTTCAAAAAACTTCCTACGAAAAGAGCTCTAAGACCGGCTGCTTTTATTTGCAAAAACTTCCTCTTTCACTCATCCGCCTTCCGTTTGAGTGCTCTTTGCCCAATACAAACTTCAAACAGCCTGAGGACCCTTTGACCTTTCCCTAGCTTCCAATACACCCACAGCCGGTCACAACCGTCTGGGGTATCTTCCAGCAAATTTCCAGAAAAACGCCTGGGTCTTTAGTAAAATTCAGCTGCTCTTCAAGGGGGTACATCCGGCCTACCGTCTGGGGTATCATCAAGCAACAAAAAGGATTTCCGACTGATGATTCAAGGAGTCAACCGTCTTCAGATTTTTTACAACTTCAAGGTACTGTCTCTACCCCTTGCAACGTTTTTGCGTTTTTCCGGTTGTATAGCTTGTAAAGAATATGGACTCACCCAACTCACACACGGCACGGCCTAGGACAGTTGTCAGCCGGTCACCAGATACGGTTGAGTCTAGGACTGGGGATGCCGTATGGGGGTGTTTGGACCACCCTTACTCTTTTGCAAACCCGACCGTCTCTGTTCATGTGCAGGACAAAATGGCTCGGACGAGACGGACGACTGTAGACCCCAAATATTAGTCAGACGGATCAGCCGAAGCTCCGGCTGACTTTGTACCTTATGACCAGCCGAGCGTACTTAGCACGCCCGGAGATGATATCTTAGACGATTCCGAGGACATAGGCGGCGAAGAGACCGTCGAGCAATTAGACTCCACAGAGTCTACTATGGAACCGGATGCACCCCAAGAGGATGAGGAGACATATAAATGGTCCTCTATCAACAATCCAACAGAGGCGCACATGACCGCCTCGGATGTGGTCACTCTAAATGCCACCTTTCCCGTATTTTTGAAAAAGCGCCCGGTTTGGGCAGGATGGGAGATTGTGGTACCGCCTGTAGAGGCAACCGTCGTCTGGGATGACGACCTTGATCATGCCGATGATTATTTCGGCTGCTATGAGGCGGCTTTCAAAGCCGGCCTCCGGTTCCCCCTCCAATAAAAGCCATTCTAAGGGGTTACGACCTTGGCGTTTGACAGCTAGCACCTAACTCTTGGGTGAATATACTAGGATATATAGCCGCCTGTGAGATGCAGGACATAATGCCTAGCTGGGAGGCGTTTGCACATATGCACTACCTCTGCCGTGCCCCAGGCGGCTGGAATGCGTGGTATACATTGACCATGCATCCGGAATTCATGATGACGCTTGACCAGCCGTCAAAGTGGGGCAGCTGGAAGAGAAAGTTTTACATGGTTTCTTCCTCATCGCTGCAACTAAACCACCGGTTGCGTCGCTACAATACACACCCGGCTCTCCTTGGAAAGAAGTGCGCCCTTCCTAGAGTGCCGGAAGAGGCTTGGACAGAAATAATGGAGACGGGTCTCTTCATAAAGACCTCCTTGCCTTTGGATGATGGGACAGAAGTCATTGTCCCCAAGAAGTGGGTCCCTTATCCAAACTGGCTAAAGGACGAGGCGTTCCTTTCCGCCTGTGGCCTAAGCGCAATGTGGAGCAGACGTATGTTGATTGTTAACCAGCACTTTAAGCCATCTGTATAATACTTGAATGGGTTTTGACTTTTTGATTTTTATTCCTTGCAGAGAAAGGATTGGCTAAATCTGCTGCAGAGATCCGGAAGGATCAATTGGAGAAAAAGAGGGCCTAACTGGCGGCCAAAGATGATGGGGTAAGCACCGGCTGAGCTCTTTTACCGTTTGTATGGTTTGAAGCTAATTTTTATATTAACTGGCTGTTTGGTTTTCTTTTTCAGATAGGGAGCAAGAATGATCCTTGTTCTTTAAGACAGATGCTGATGAGACTGGGAGAGGAGCCCTCCCAGCCTACTTCCAAATTGAGAAGGGTTCCGGCTGCCTCTACCTCTACCGGAAGGTCGCCTGTGCCTGAGAGGCCCACCTCAGCGGGGAAAAGCCCGAAAGACCTTACCCTTAGCTCAGGGCCGGCTGAGGTTGAAACGAGGTAGCCCGAAATTCCCTCTAGTCGGGTGCTTGCTGTAGCGTCCGGCTCCAATGCGGCTGGGGGTGGGATGACCCCTCAGCTTGAAAATCAAGGTACGGCTCTCACATTTGATCCCAAGTTACCCAATCAGTGGATTCTTTAAGTAGCCGGTAGAATGTAGGTGCCGCCTATGCTTAGTACTTAACCAATAAATCTATTGATGCAGATGCCTTTTCTCGTTAGCCTGACCTCCAAAGTTATTCCAAGAGGATGCTGAGGACCCTCACCCGGTCCGAGAAGGAGGCGGTGCTGGGCGTGCACCAAGTCAACATAGACCGCATCAACTCACTGCTCGCTGAGATAATTGACCGGTTGGGGTGCTTTTGTGCCAGTTTATTCTGTTGCAGGTTGTAGCGTAATAGAAAGGTTGTCAGGCTTCTTGGACGGCTGTCCATTGTTTGTTTTGGGGATACCCTTGGACTTCAGCATATAGGACTTCAAAGCCCCCTCATCCGCCAGATGGTCCAATAACTTCCTGAGGCTATAGCAGCCATTGGTGTCATGGCCTATGTCCTCATGGAAATGACAGTACTTGCTCTTGTCTCGGCTTTTGATGGGACTTTTCATAGCAGTCGGTTTTTCAATGGTCAACCGGTCTTCGATATCCATGAGGATGGAGGAGCAGTCCTTGTTGAACTCGTACTTGGAGACGTATGGCTTCAACTCTCTCTTTTTCTTCTGGGACGGTTGACCAGAATGGTCCTCCACCCAGACTTCTTTTCTTTTCTTGCTTTTCTTTTTTAGCCGGCTGAGCTAACTGGCTCTCCTTTTTGTCGGACTTTTTAGGGTCCGACGGTTGCTTGATGGCACAAAGCTCCGTCGCCTGTATGTAGGTTTCGTCTTCCATCAATGCCTCTTGGAGGGTAGCAACCCTCTTTCTGACAAGGTCGAACTTAAAGGTTGACCCGTCCTTCAGACCCTTGAAGAAGTCTGTGTAGGCAACTTTGTCAAACAGCCCTTGAATCTGAATTCTCATCAGATTGAACCGCCTGACATAGGACCTTAGTCCTTCTCTATCTCCCTGCGAAATAGCCCCCAAGTCGAGACTTGTCTTTTTAGCAGGGATGTTCATAGAAAAGTTGGACGCAAACAGGTATGCAAGCGTCTTGAAGTTGTTGATGCACCCGGCTGGCAGATTGCCAAACCATTGTTGGGCTATGCCCTTCAGTGTTGTCGGGAGCATCGGCACCAGGCGGCGTCATCCCACCCCTGTAAGTACATGAGGTTGGTGTAAGCCATTAGGTGATATTCCGGGTTGGTGTTACCGTCATAGGTACTGACCAACACGTTCTTAACCTTGGCCAGCCGAGCCGCCTCGTTTATCTCCCTGGAAAATGCCGACAGCTGTTCCCCAAGGTTTAGCAGCCGGAGCTGACAGTCCATTGGCTGGACATTTTGTGTCGCCTGACCCCGAAAGAGTGTCGGCTGCATGTATGGTGATCCATACGGCATGTATGGCTGTTGGGGCACATACGGAGCCGACTGGATAATCTGAGGGCCAGTGCGTGCGGACATGCCGCGTGACTGATCTCTCGGTTTGTTTCCGAATACTTCATTGAAGTATTCCAGAAACTGTCAGGGTAAGTCGACGTTGAGGCCGATTTAGACAATAGTTGACTTCTATTCTGCTGGATTAACATCCGGGCATCTGAGTAAATCCTTTTTGATCCATCCGGCTGAACTTGCCGGATGGCCTTCCTTTGCCCTGATTCAGGGAAACGAAGTTTGGATAGGTCAATCATGGGCCCATCCGCCCCTTTTGGTTTAGGGTGTGGAGTAGGCACACGATCTTTCACATGCTTCTTCCCGGAGGGAGAAGGTTTCTTGGCCGACTGACCCTTATTGGTGCCAGTTGACTTGTTTATTAGGTCCTTGATCTCCCCTTTGAAACTCGTCATGAATTTTATGAGTTCGTCTCTAGAACCGCCTGGGGTCGCCCAGCCGGCTTGACGGTTGTGCTGCTAGGACCAGCTTTGTCTTTGTCCTGTTCCCTTGTTTCTTTGGAACGGGTGTGTCTCATTCTGAATGACTCGTCTGGGGCCACGTAGGTGTCGACTTCAAAGTCGTCACCACTATCTTGGTCCGTGTGGACCTCAGTTTCGGCCATAGGCCGTTTGTCTTCAACAGGCGGTACAAACTCTGATGCCATCTAGGAAGTACTCTCCCCACAGATGACGCCAAATGTTTCGAGGTTTTTGGTGTCCCTCGGGAGAGTTACAATTCCAAGAATGCGCGGCGACCGTCTATGCCGGCAAAATCATAGAAACTCCGGTTGGGTGTAGTTCTGCCTCCAACAATCAAGTTAGAACGTTTCTGGATGTATAAAAGTGCGAAATGTAAAGGGTTTTTCTCCCGGATTCCGAGAGAATTCTGCAATTAATATTGCTCGGGATTTTTTATGTGTATTTATGAATGTGTAATAAATGAGGATTTTCCTCTATTTATAGTGGAAGGGGTAAAAGGAATGGTGTCCTTCCAACAAGTGTATTATTCCGATAGAGGGTTCAGAATTATCGGAAAGCTAATTCTTCAGTAAGGTCAAGTGATCCGAATGCCTAGGTGGACGCCGCTTCTGATTAGTAATATTAATGTACAATTAATATTACAGCTTGATCTTGACTGAACCCTTTAGGTCGAACCCAATCGAACAACCGATCCGAGACGATGAATCAATCCGAAGGATGTGATGAGTCGTCGGAGTTTTACGAACAAAGACATCGGATATCGAGCTCGGAGCATCTAGACCAATCGTCGTAGGTCGAGTCGAATTTGGAATTTGACGAGACGGGAAAAATCAACAAGTATGTGCTAAGCTGTAGCCTCGCATTGGCCTAAGCCATGCGAGTGCTAATCTAGCTCATGATGCCATGCGCATCACTAGGCATCCCGCAAGTACGCTAGCAAGGGCGGTGCACAAGGCCGTAAGCATACTAGCGGCTAGAGCATGCTAGCGTGCTAGTGTGCTGAGCCATGCACCCAGCCGCATCATCGCTGGACCAAGCACAGCAGCAATGCGCTATGCATGCTGTGCTGTGGCGATGTGTGCTAGCGTGGTAGCCTCACGCATCGCAGCCTCTAGCACACAGCCACGCATCGCAACAAGCATGTTATGTGCTATGGCAGTGTATGCTCGCGTGCTGGGCATCGCAGCATGCCATGTGATGAGACTTAGCATGCTTGTGTGCTCGGCAGCGCTTAGCACAAGCAGCAGCTGCCAGGCAGCGCCTAGCATGCACTACACTACAGCAGCAGCCCGCATTGCGTGCGTGGATTGCTGGCTGCGTGAATGCGCATGCGGGCTAGCTGGCCAGCCCAGCCAAGGTGCCAGGCGCCAGCTGGGCAGCCTTGGCAGCCAAGGCAGGCTGGCTGCAAGCTATGCATGGGCTGACCTTGAGTGTTGGTGGGGACCAATGCTTGGTCATAGCCTTGGGGAGCAAGGTGGGATGGTCCCCTCCCTTGGTGGTCCTCACCTAACCTCTTCTCACCATGTTACACTTGTTGATTATTAATTGCTTGTCATTTTATGATGGAAATGCAAATTCTCCCACATTGGTGGGAGAATGGGAAATCAAGTAGCATTGCCTTATAAATACCCAAGTGTTGGGCATATGGGAAGATACTTGAGTGGAACTAAATGAGGCATCTCCCATTAGGTGAGAAAACCTCTAAGTTTGTAAAACTCCAGTTTTTATTGGTCGGTTCCCGACTGACCTTCGGGACTTGGACTCTTCGGGTCGGGTTCGTGTGTACGAGCCGTTGGAGGCGGTCACGATTGTGACGCTCGAGCTTTCGAAGTATGAGCTCGATTTGCGAGCGAAGAACGCTACGAGGGTATAACTTCTTTCTCTCTTTCTCTTAATTATTGCTTAATTATGTTTATGCTTGCTTTAATTGCTTTAGTTATGGGGGCGGGTCATGGCGGGTTTCTCTTCTGCGTAGCGTTGGACGCTACGAAACTCAACAGTGGTATCGGAGCCGCGCTCCTTTTAATTATTGCAATTTGTAATTAATTAAGGTGATTTAAAATGAATTTAAATTTCTGGTTGTGCTTTCTAATTGGATTAGAAGCTCGTTTTAATTAATTTTAAAAGTCGTATTTTTCTCGTTTTGGCTGTCGAACCCAGATTTCGACTCAAAAATAGTATTTTTGGGTGGAATCGATGTTCTAAATCGTTTCTAGCCAAAATCCACCCTAAAATATGTTTTTCGAGGGGTTTTTCGTTTTTGACGAAATTTTTTTAAAATCTTTATGCCTTGATTAATTTATGCATGTTAAGGGTAGATTAAATATATGGTTGCATCCCTAATCTACTGCAATTATAAACCCTTTTAAGCATAGTTATGAAGTCATAATGTGTGCTTAAGTTTGTATGTTCAATTTTTCACATAAACTTGTTATTTCACAATTATGCAAATCAATTGCATTAAAGTGTGAATGTTTATTGTGAATGTGAAATTCAAAGTTCCTTGTATATTAAAGATCCAATCTTTAAGTGTTTAAATGGTGGAACTTTGATTCTAAATTCCATGGTTGAACTAATTTTGGATTTATTCGTTTTGGTTGATTAAAGTCCTTAAAGTTCAAGTACTTGTGATTAAATTTTGATTAATCTTCATATTGGAAGATGTAATTTTATTATTTTACACAAGTTAAAAGTTGGAAAATTTTTCATTGGATGATTGGTTTTATTTTCCAACTCCCTATTTTGTCAAAACTCATCATTAATTTACATTTGGGTTAAATTAATTTTGGGTGTAGCCCTTCAATTTTAATGCATAAAGAAAGACCTAAATTCTTTCAAAAGGGTAATTTTGGATGATTTAGGCTTGTACACCATTAAAATTGAATTTAATTAAGTTGGACTTATTTTAATTTCATTTTTCCCTAAATTGATTCTAAAATAAATTTTGGATTAATTTTATGTCACACGTAAATCGGGATTAAAATCCCGAGAAACGGCACGCAAATCGAGGCAAAAACACCCAAGCGTCACCAAGGCTAGCCGGCAGTCCGCATGTGGCTGCCTTAGGTGCGCACAAAGGGTGCTTAAGCCTCGAGATGCTGCTGAGCAGTGTGGCAAGGGATGCTGTTGCGTACTGCCGTAGGGCTAGGTGCGTGGCATGGGCTGCTGGAGTTGCTTGTGCGTGCTGCTGGGCAGCAAAGCCCCAGCCAGCCTGCCATGCGCTGCCAGGCACCAGCTAGCAAGCTAGCATACGCAGCATACGTAGCGAGCAGCTAGTGTTGTCTGGGATAGCACGATTCGCTGGGCGAGCTTGCTAGCACCTAGCATAGCAGGCGCAACACATGGGCTGCCTAGCAGCCTTGGTGCGCAACCCAGAAGGTTTGAGTGGGACGTTTTTTGCTTAAGTTTTGGGCTATCGTCTTTTGCAAATATTGTCGTTTTAATTTTAATCAAAATTTTAACGAGGTTAGACCTCGATTTTTCCGGCTCTTGCAAAAATTTTAATTTTGACAAAATTAGGGTTTATCGGCTTAATTAATTAGATTAATTAAGTTAGATGCGGAATTTAGTGGGAGCTTATGATTTTTTCGTGAACAAATTGCTCCTTAATAAACATAATATATTAAACAATTTTGACTAGTTTTAATTAGGCGTGTTAATTGGATTAACAACCTAAGTTAGTTACTAGTTTTCGCGTGTTGTGCAATTTTTAC